CAACCATAAATTAACACCAGTACGCATTAATTACTTCAAGCCGACAACGCAACACTGAAAACGCCCCAAAAATTACCATATCTGAGGTAAAAGACATGAACACTCTTTTAGATCTGGGACTAAAAAAATGTGTCTCCCTAAAAAATGGGGAGATTTTATTTTAATTTAATTGCATTTGGAATTTCGTTTACAGATATTTAGCTTCTCAACCATTTTAGTCTTTTTTTTTATCAGCAACACAGCAAATAATCGGTAAGGTAACCACTATTTGTATATTTCATAGGTTTTAAGTTGAAATAAATATAATTCCTATTACTATATTAATAAGTTTTATATATACTATTTAAAGTACTTTTCCTGCCAATAAAGTAGAGCCACCCCTCGCAAGAGTATGCCTAAAAACGCGTGCGATTTGACAGCAAATTATGCGATTGCAGTGCATAAGCCATGATGCAGGCACTTCTGAGAATTGTCTCTCACATTTGTTTGGGCCGCTAATTGCTTTTGGCCAGCATTCTCTGGCGGGGGGAGGGATCCTTACCTTAAAAGGTGTGCGTGTCAGCGGGGCAGCTTTTCCACCGGCGACTCCGGCGAGCCCCAAACCGGATCTAAGTCTCAAGAGATATATATGAACGCAGATCGGAATCATGACTCATGGAGGCTATGAGTACATTCAATGTCGTTGGACGGAGGCGGCGCCTAATCTAGAAAATTGTAAATTATTTAATTGGGAGCGCTGCCAAACGCCTCTGCACTCGACTCACTCTCGACTCTCGTAAACCGAAATCTGAGAATCTGAGAATCAATGGGGCATTCTCACGCGTCTGGAAAACGCGCTAAGTGATTCTGCACTGATCGCCGTTTATGAGCATCGCGTTTTAATTGCCATCACTTTGAGCCCGATGCTGGGAAACTGGTTCGCCTAGAATCGCAATGTGGGAGCAATTTGCATATTAGCAATCAATATTTTTTTTTCAGTTCGCCCTCTTCACTTCGATCTGCCAGTTGACACTTTGGTCCCTGATCGCAGGTCGATACTTCAATTTATGCATCGAAATCGCAGAGAAAATCCAAGTCAATGCCATACGCAAAATCGTTGCGTTGACAAAAAGTGCGAGTGATCAAACTGGCATTCGCAATCGAATTTGAAATCGAAATCAAAATCGCACCAGTAATTAGAATACTCGATCTCTGGCCGAACTAGTTATGCATGAGATTAACTAAATTGGATTAGTCGAGGGGTTAGGCATTCGCATTTGCTGGTGGGAGCGCCGGTGCAACAGATCGTTCATTAAGAATGCCGAATGCCTAATCTGTGTTAATTATGACAAATGTTTATGACACTCGAGTCGACCGGTGGTGTTTGTTTTGCTTCACAGGAGGCTACTTCAGGAGTTGTTCAACCTATTAACCTAATAAATATTTAATAATATATTATTATTTAACCTTCTACAGGCGAGCCACTTTAATATCAAATTGCCCCTGACGGTATGCTTCATAAATTAAATTGTTTACAACTAGTTGTTCACATTCACATCCGGCTTATCACCTTGGTTGTTAAACAAATAAAGCTGCATTAAATATTTATTTAAAAGTTAGATAAGTTCAATTCAATTTTTAATAAATAAATGTTTCTTAAAGATACATCACTGCATTTTTTGTTTGCATTTTACTTTATTTGAGCAATCTTTTATAATTTCTTTAAAAATGTATTTTTTAATACTATAATTTAATGGCCAAAATAAACCTATATTTTCCAAAATTTGATATACAATTGTGTCCTGGTTTTTTATATTTTCCGATTTAAATATTTTGTAATGTTAACTATTTGCTCTTTTTTTGCTGAATTTATTTTCAATACTACATAAATTGCCATCATTTGAAATGTACATTTAATGTTAGGATAGAAATTCAAGAGAAAAACACAATTTCAAAGAACTGAAAAATTGTATTCAAATTCGAAGAAAGCTTTACAATTAATTAAAATATTTTGTAAGCACAAGTAAAAAATGTTATAAAATTGAAACAGGATCAAGTCCCAATGGACCTAACTAATAGGCATGTCGACTTCTATTTTATGACCGCATTTAATTAGCTGTCCGCCGCGTCTGAAGTCTGCCATTTGGTGGCACTGGCAGCCATCAAGCTGCCATCGCAGCCACATTGTCCCTGACTCGCAAATGACACCGCATGCCGGCCAAATCAATTAAAAACACCCAATTGAAAGAAACAAAAAAAAAGGCAAGACAAACTCCTGGCCAGACGATTACCACCGATGTGAAATCTAGGCGAAGTTTTGCCGAAATAAAACCAACCATAAATGGCTGGCTGGAAAATTGATTGAGCAGCACACGCGTTGACATTTCAATTAGAAGCCCAGACCGGACCAAAAAGAAAAATCGTTGCTGAAAAAAAAACGGACGAAAAACCAAGACACGCAATCGGCAGTTGGAAAAGAATGCCGATCCAGATCGAGAGCCGTTGCCAGTTGATAAACCTTGTGGACCAATTAAGCTTCGGTGATTGGGTGTTGCATGATGCGATTGTTATCGGAAAAGCCAGGAGAAGAGTTAAGTCCGAAAATGTTCCCGACTTTTCCTGCAGTTTTTTTTTGCAAATGCAACTGGGACTAAAACTGCTGCTGCTGCTGTTAATTGAACATGAAACATGTTTCGGGCTGTCGGTCCGGCTTTCCATATTTTTTGTTTTCTTTTCAGTTTTGGGGCTTTTCGCGAACGGTTTTCGCAATTTGATTGAATTTTAATTTTTCAACATTTGCAAACGCAAACCGAAAAGTCAGCTGCGCGAATTTTAACCTACTTCAGGCTGATCGCTGGACGAGTTTAGTTCGCCTCGCCACGCATTTGTCACACACACGCACATATCGCTGGGGTTGCGTAAGTTTGGTGAAACGATCTGCGGACTTTGGAGAGCTGTAACTATATAGATAGCTTTGGCTATAGCTTCAGCTGGCCATGGCTACTGCCTCACGACCATGCCTACTTAGCATCATGACGAAATCAAATCCCCACCTTCCAAGTTTTTAATTGAAAAATCTTGATTTTCGCCCCAGCCGGATCATTTACATTCAATATTGTATCGCAGCGAATCCTATATCTAGATGGTTTGTCGTTCATTCAATAGCGCGATCATGTTGACCAGGTCGCTGCGTAAACATTTCAAAATTTGCCAAACACATTTATAAAATCGTCGATTTTATGTTTCTGCATAATCTGCACAATCTCTCGCAAATGAATTCTACAAGCCCCAGTAAATATTTGCGTGTAAAGCGAACCAGTTAAGTTAGTGCTAGAGTGCAAGTATTGCGTGTATTTTTTTGTTATATTTTTTGAGAGAGGCCGACGGGCTTGGCATTTTGGCTGTGTGAGCGCACAACGTGGCGTATGCGTGATGCCAGCGGGGCAGTCGCAAAAGCGGCAAAATTATGACTTTAGGTAGCCCAATGGTCGATGTTTATGAGTGGAAATGCATTTTCCGCACCTTGTGTGAAATGGCTGCCAAGCCGTTGGTCGAAATTTCGTGGGCGATGTCTGGACTTGGCCAAAATGGTTTAGTAATCGCCGCATTAAATGGCACAGTTATGGTTTGTTTTATTATATAAGGCGGTGGAGAAACAATCAAAACAAATATATGGCATTATTTATAAAACCTAGTTTTATTTGTTTATTTAGTTGTTTAATTCCCTGTTTAATTTATAAATGTTAAAATAACTCTTCATTAATTTCAATACCATTGGATAACAGCATTTAATAAAAGGAAGATCTCCAGGCATCTTGAATAAATATGAAGTATATAAACAAACTATTTATTTTTTCCACCCAAAAGTATTTTTTTAATTGAGAGATAACCACATTAATTAAACTCAACATCAAAGTGAGCCAAAGAAACGATCTCAGCCTTACCCCAAATTCCCGGCCATGTTTCTTCAAATCGGTTGTCAGCCAACCGATTTATCAGACATGTTAACGCATTGGGTTGGCCATTCTTTCGACATATTACTATATACCCACCCTCGCACTGAGAGTGACACTCGATGCATAGTGACCTTAATTGCCGACAAGTCAACACTTTGGCCATATCTCCCGGCTATTCTATTAGTTACACATTGTATCGCATTATGATGTGGCAATGCGCCTTTTAGCCAACTAATGCACAATCAAGGCCCAAGGCGCACAACACGCATGATTGCACACACATACGGGCAGACAAAATTTATTGATAGCGACATTAATACCACAATTCTTGTTTTATTTTCTACATACATTGCTCTCTATTTTTTCTTGATTTTATTTTTTGGTTCGCTTGCCTAGCAAATTGCGTATGCATTTATTTTTTCCAGAGCTACACGCAATGGCCGCGATTAAAATCTAAATCAAATTAAGTCGCTTTAAAAGCATACGGGTATGCAAAAAAAAAAAATAATAAAAATAAATCTTTAAAAAAGTCGAAATAAAACTATGGCTTGTAAGAAAAAAAAATACGGTGACTTGGCCAACAATGCACCACGCGCATTTTGTGATCGGTTTATTTTTCTGAGCCGAGGCGTTCGCGACTATGATCTAATAAAACGTTACCAACTGAGGCTCTGAGCGAAGGTGGGGCCCAACAATTGGCCAGGCAGGTTGCAGTTCGCCAGTTTTCAGTTTTCAGTTTTCAGCTGGCAGTTTTCAGTTTTCCACTTGGGGAGAACAAAGCTGCTGTGAAACGAGAGCTGGAGTCGAACAGTCATCAATTCTTCATCTGCACGCGCCAAAGTCGCAGCTCATTCGTGCCTCTTTCCTTGCAACTAGATCTATTTTTTTTCGATTTTTTTTTTGCTATATATATAGTTACACTTTTTTGTCGCTTTGTCGCCAAACTGGTGCGTGGCTGCTGCGCATGCGTGCGAGCTTTTCGCGAGTGTTGGCCAACTGACCGAACGTATTTAAGCGATTATAGGGCCGGGCTGGCCAACAGTCCAGTCCAGTCGGCCGCGTGGCTCTGCTCTACATCCCGAATCGTTCCGTTCCGTTTCGATTCGATCCTATTCGATTCGATTTCGAGCCGTACTTGGTAGAATTTAAGCAAATCGGAAAACGACAAATAGTTATATTTATTGTGACCCGTGCGTAATTTCCTCGATGCGAATTATTTTCAGAGCCGCCCAAGGATATCACATTGGACTTTTAATCGAACCATCAAGGATCGCCAGCTTGTGAATTCTTTTTTGAAAAAAGTGCAAATGCTGTGTTACTGAACAAAGAATTTATATAGTTCGTTAGTCCTTACAAACGCATACCAAACATCGACTGTGCTGAGTTTGAAAAGTGAAAAGATGAAGGTGGGTCCCTTGAAGTGTATAAAACAACTAGAGACATATAAAAAGAACATTGGCAAAAGAAACATTTGACGATTTGTGCAGGTGGAAGTGCCCAAACTTATATACATGAAACAGTAAAACTTATGCAGAAAAGTATATCGAAATATTCAATTAAATATGAATTTTTGTTAAAAAACTGAACATAAAGGAAAATGGTGTCTCGAAACTTGGATTGTTAAAAACCATTAACTTGAACTCATTTATTATTGCTTTGTGATTTTACAAAATTGAAATAGTGTTAAACTAATTTTAATTTTTAAGCTCCTTACAAAAATTAGTGTCGCAAATTACAAAATAAAAAAATTTTTAAAGTTGTGACCCACAACAAATTTAATATGCCTTAAAACTAATTCATTATCCTTGGATATTTTATGTATGCTTGCGTTAAGCGCAATTTGCTAACTTTTACTCTTAAAATTAAGTTTTTATAAATTGAATAATATTATAGGTTGGTCCTTGAATTTAAAATCGTAACGCAAACAATTACAATATACAATATACATACTTTTAATTTTAAAATTTAGTATTATTATTATATTTTAGAAATTAATATGCTTTTTGGAATTTTACACTATAAGTACATGTGCTTTTAAAACTTATTTTAAATTTAGTCATATAATTATTGCGATAGGCAAAGTTTAATTTTCTAAAAAAATATTTTTGTATTATTAAAAAAAATACGTTTATTTGCAAGGGAATATGAAAAAGACTTCACCACCGATTGACTTCATGTTCGCCCTTCCAATTTCAGTTCCATTTGGTAGCCCTTCTGGGCATGCTCAGCGTGGTCCTGGCGGAGCCCTCGCCCACTCTGGCTCCTCCGATCTTGCCCTGCGTGCACGCGGCCACCGCTGGCTATTCGTATCCTCCTCCGGCGGAGGTGAAGTTCTCCATCTCGCCCGGAGTGACCAAGTACAGTCAGAGTCCGGCGATTTCCACGTACGCGGAGAATGGTCACCTACTCCACACCTCGGTGGGAAGTTCGGGTGCCTCGTATCAGTCCACTGCCGGAATCGAGGGTTTGTCCCATGGAGGCATCGCCCAGATCGATAAGTACATAGCTCCGGTGCAGAAGACCCTCTTCACTCCTTCGGCTGAGTACGGAGCACCGAGTGGAATCACCTATGCGGACAAGTCACCAGCCGCCAAGTACGCAACCGTAGTGCCATCCGGAATCGAGATCAAGAATTTGGTGTCACCGGCTATCACCAAGTTGGACAACTCCTATTTGCCACCATCCGCTGGAATCAGCAAAGTGGCTACCTACACTTCGCCAGGATATAGTTACAGTTCGGCCACTCCGGGAATATCCAAGGTGGCCACGTATTCCTCGCCAGCTCTTTCGAGTATTCCCTACTATGCGCCACCAGTGACCTCCAAGGTGGAGACCTACAGCTCACCGGGGTACACGTACTCCAAGGCCACTCCTGGTTACTCCAAGGTGGAGACGTACAGCTCTCCGGGCTACAGCTATGGTCAGGTCTCACCAGGAATCTCCAAGATTGCCACCTACTCGCCATCCGTTTCTTATTCGGCACCCGCGATTGCCAAGGTGGCCACCTACTCAGCCCCGTCCGTTAAACTGGCCACCACCTCGTCATTGCTCTCCTCCCATGGAACCGGATACTCGGCCAGCTATGCTCCGTCGATAACCAAGTACAGCCAGGCGGCGGATGTGTCCCACCAGTACTTCTCCAAGCCCATTGTGGCCGCCTATCCAGCTGCAGTTCCGGCGATCACAAAGGTGGCTGCCAGTTACGGAGGCACTGCATCGGGAGCTCTTTCCCATCAGTATGTCTCGCAGCCCGCCATCACAAAGGTGGCCAGCTATGCTGCTCCAGCGGTGGCCACCTACTCATCCGCTCCCGCCATCACCAAGCTATCCACCAGCTTCGGAGCTTCGGGATCGGGAGCTGTTTCCCATCAGTATGTGTCCAAGCCAGCGGTGGCCATTTCATCCGCTCCTGCCATTGCCAAAGTGGCCACCTATGCCGCTCCTGCCATATCCAGCTACTCCACTGGACCTGCAATCTCCAAGGTTGCCTCCTATGCCGCTCCCACTGTGTCCACCTACTCCTCAGGTCCTGGCTATGGAGTAAGTGGCTCCGGAGCCCTCTCTCACCAATATGTTTCCAAGCCGGCAGTGGCCATTTCCGCCGCTCCTGCAATAGCTAAAGTAGCAACATATGCTGCTCCTGCCATATCCACTTACTCGGCAGCTCCAGTGGTGACCAAAGTGGCCTCTGGATATGGAGCATCCGGCCATGGAGGAGCTGTTTCCCATCAGTATGTGTCCAAGCCAGCGGTGGCTATATCAGCTGCTCCTGCAATAGCTAAAGTAGCAACATATGCTGCTCCGTCCATTTCCACATATTCCTCAGGTCCCGCCGTGACCAAGATTGCCACCGGCTATGGAGGATCAGGCTATGGTGGATCAGGACATGGAGGAGCCGTCTCCCATCAGTATGTGTCCAAGCCAGCAGTAGCCATCGCTGCAGCACCTGCAATCGCCAAAGTTGCAACATACGCTGCTCCGGCAATCTCCACCTATGCAACTGCTCCAGTTATCTCTAAGGTGGCCACCTATGCTGCTCCTGCCATTTCCACCTACTCGGCAGCTCCTGCTCTCACCAAGGTTTCATACAGTCAAGCGGCGGATGTGTCCCACCAGTACATCTCCAAGCCCATTGTGGCCGCCTATCCAGCCGCTGCTCCAGCGGTGGCCACCTACTCATCCGCTCCCGCCATCACCAAACTCTCCACAAGCTATGGAGCTTCGGGATCGGGCGCCGTTTCGCACCAGTATGTGTCCAAGCCAGCGGTGGCTATTTCATCTGGTCCAGCGATCGCTAAAGTGGCTACCTATGCTGCTCCTGCCATATCCACCTACTCCGCAGCTCCTGTGGTGACCAAAGTGGCCACTGGCTATGGAGTATCCGGCCATGGAGGAGCTGTTTCCCATCAATATGTCTCCAAACCAGCGGTGGCCATATCAGCTGCTCCTGCGATTGCTAAAGTGGCAACTTACGCAGCTCCTTCGATCTCCACTTATTCTTCGGCTCCCAGTCTCACCAAGATTGCCACGAGCTATGGAGGATCGGGCTACGGAGGATCAGGCCATGGAGGAGCACTCTCCCATCAGTACATCTCAAAGCCGGCGATCGCAGTGGCTCCAGTGGCTCCTGTTCTATCCAAGGCTTACTTACCCGCTGCTCCGGCCATCGCCTTGCCCGCCAAAGTGGCCACAGGATACGGAATCAGTGGCCATGGAGCCGTCTCCCATCAGTATGTTTCCAAGCCGGCAGTGGCCATTTCACACGGTCCTGCGATTGCCAAGGTGGCCGCCTATGCCGCTCCTGCCGTTTCCAGCTACTCCACTGGACCTGCAATCTCCAAGGTTGCCTCCTATGCCGCTCCTGCGATTTCCACCTATTCAGCGGGTCCACTACTATCCAGTGGCCATGGATACGGAGGAAGTGGCTCGGGATACAGTTCTGGCGCCGTCTCCCATCAGTATGTGTCCAAGCCAGCGGTGGCCATTGCTGCTGCTCCGGCAATCGCCAAGGTGGCCACTTACGGAGCTTCAGCCGTGAGCCACCTCTCCGCAGGACATGCAGTCGCCTCGGTGCCCGTTTTGTCCACCAAAGTGGCCACTGGATATGGAGTGTCCGGCCATGGAGGAGCTGTTTCCCATCAGTATGTATCCAAGCCAGCTGTGGCCATTTCAACTGGTCCTGCCATCGCCAAGGTGGCCTCCCCAATTGGACATGGACTTGGACTGGGACTGGGACTCGGGTACGGGGCCAGTGGACATGGACACGGAGCAGCTCTGCTGGGTGCTCCTCTGACCAAGCTGACATCCGCTCCAGCTTACTCCTTGGGAGGAAAGCTGGCCAGCAGCACCGCCTACGGAATCCATGCGGGTAAGTTTTGATAAATATAAACATATTAAATACTAATGTACTTTATTAAAACACTAATAAATAAGTTTCTGGGAAATAGTTATTTTCTTAAACCAAAGGTTATTGATTTAAAAATCGTATAGGTCATTCAAGTCGTGCATTGACTTTATGTTTTAAGAAATAAGATAAAGTCTAGTTAAATTTGTGAAATAATATAAAATTTCATGAACTGGGGAAATTTACATTCTTCGCTTGGAGTAATGGAATACAAGTTTAACTCAGTAAAACCCATTTATAATAAAATAATACAAATTATGTGTAAAGCTTGCCCTATGATTTCAAAAGAACATAATTCTTAATATTTTCATTCGAATTTTAAATCACAGCCAATGCAACTAAATTCCTTCTTCCAGGTAACTTAGGTCATGGAGCGGATCACAGTGGGGGCTACTACGGAGCCATCTCCCTGGGTCATGGAGCGGTTTCTCCAGCCCTTAGTTACCACGGTCTGCTGTCCCACGGATCTGGCCTGGCCCCAGCCTCCTCCTCGCTGGCCCACCTGGACTCCTCCCTGAGTGGATACTCGCACGGAGTGGGAGGAATCGGACCGCTGGGAGCTGGATTCTATCGATATGCTCCCAGTGTGCCAGCGCTGAGCAGCCACGCCCCCGTGGCAGCCACCGCCTACATAAAGTCGGCACCAGTGGCTCAGCATGCCGTGCTGAAGGTGGTGCCCGAGAAGCACCTGGAGCACTTTGTAAGTTTGTTATGATTTCATGATGAATATTTCTCTCTAAGATTGCCTTTTCTTCCAGGATGCCCATCCACGCTATGCCTTCGAGTACGCCGTAAATGATCCACACACGGGTGATAACAAGCACCAAAAGGAGGAGCGGGATGGAGACGTGGTCAAGGGCGAGTACTCCCTGGTGGAGCCCGATGGCAATGTGCGCACCGTGAAGTACTACGCCGACTGGGAGACGGGCTTCCACGCCGAGGTCATCAACAGTCGCGATCAGGGCAAAATTGTGGCCAAGCGCCAGACGGAAGCCAAGTCGTGAGGTGAGTGTCCAGAAGAAAGACTATACAAATTAAATTTTATATACAATTTTTGGAAGTTTTCTTATTAATGGAAGTCTTCTTATTAACTATAGGTTAAATTGATTTTATTGTTTACCTTTTAAAATTTAAATCAATAACTTTAAATTACCAAAAATCACATGAGTTTCAAAGAACTAACACTCATCCAAAAAATTTTAATGTAATTCCATTTTAAAATAGGAAATTTACTTCTAATTTATATGCAATAATAATCTTTTAAATTCAATCTTATAAGAAATAACAATAAAATCAAATGAAATCAAAATTAAATACTTTAAGGATAATCCAAACATAAAACTGTTAGTTTAGATACCTGTTCCTTTTCTAGGGATTACCAGCTTAACAATAAGAAACCAATATTTTCTGTTATTATTAATCAATATTGAATTTACTTACAGCTTTTCACAGGTCGCAAATTGTTTTGTTCGTTCAGCAACTGTAAATAGCCTCAAATCCAATCTTCTTCTCATTAAACATTAAACGTATTTATGTAAACCCCACAACGACAACGATGTCATACGGCCGCCATCTTGCCACGATATATCCGATATCCAACTATATATCCGCCACGCCCCCCACACAACGCCCACTCTGGATCCCCGATTCTGTGCTCATGTGATAAGCGTTTCGTTTTATTGAACTGCTTGCGCTGCTCTCATCTCAAACTGCGCGCCTCTTATTATGCCCAACTATTTGTACATAAAGGATTGTATATTGATATTATGTAAAATGTTAATTTCAAATAAACGACATTTAAGAACGCCACAGTCGGGGGTGCTCGACAATGAGATTGTGTTGTTGATTGTCTTCAATACTGGATCCTTGATTGATCATGTGACCTAAGCCCCTTGATAAAAATTAAATAAAAAGGATATTTCCAAAACCATTTGTAGTTAAGTTTAGTAGTTTATGTTGAAAATACGCTTCAGTCCCATTGAAACTTTTAAAGCTTCATTAGAAATTTAAAAACCATCCACTTTCTATGATATTTTTAGAATACAACTTTTCTTTTAATTTGTCTAAGTAATGTAAATTTGTTTATTGCCCGATAAACACGAAATGAACTATATAATTATACAGTTTTATATAATATCTAATTTCGTACAAATAATTATTAGTATATTAATGTTTTATATAAGCTGCGAATCACATATACCTTTGTTATGACCGAGATACATTTGGAATACTAATTCGTGTAACTAGAGTTTTGCTCGAATGCTCTGCGCAGATCCTCGCTGATGAAGAGACCGAAGTCAGTGTTTTTGGCCCGATGCGGATGATGTGTGCAATATGTCTGGAAGATATGTCGCAGGATGCGGCTGCCCTGCAGCTCGATCTCCGAGCGTCTTTGACTGCCAGCGGAACCCATTTCCAGATGGGCCAGCAGCCACTGGTTCTTCAGCGAGCGCAGGTCCTTGTCCAGGTTGGTCAGATCCTGGCTGCTGGTCCGAGGAACATGCAGTGGTTCCAGGGAGGCGAAGGTCTTCCTCATCTCGATGCCCTGCAACTGTACTCGCAGGGATCGCTCCTGGCGTAGAGCCTGATGGAGCATGTTCATCTCCCGGTTGGAACTAATCGTGGTGCTGGTCACACAGGCATTGTCCACCTTCTGCTGCTCCTGCCAGTGCTGCTGCGCCTGCTCCAGGATGGATATCTTGTCGGCTAGGATATTCAAGGCCTGTCCCAGGGCTGCCTCTTTGGCCAGGATCGACTGCTCCAGTTGCTCCACAGCGTCTGCGAATCCGGCGAGTACGTGACACTGCTTGCTCAGCTGCTTCTCGGCCATCTCCTTGCGAACCTGCAGCTCCGAGAAGTCCTGCTGCTTCATCTTGGCCATGTACTTGAGGCTCTTGATATCCTTATCCCGCTCTGCCACAGTCAACTCCAGATTTTTCACATCCTCGTAGTGTTTTTTCACTTCGGCAGCCCGCTCCTGCAATGTGTTGCTAGTGGGATGGCGCACATATTCTGTGTTCACATCTGTGGATTCCAGTAATGTGAAAAGCTCATCCAACTGCTCTTCCAGGAGTTGCATGCACCGCTGGCTATAGGCATCCACTTCCCTGGGTTCCTCGGTCTCCTGACTTGGTGCAAACTTATTATAGTTGAGCACCAGCATCCTCCACAACTTCTCGTGGGCTATTCCCCCATTTGAATCTCTGCTGGCTTCTCGGGCCGTTAAACCCAGCAATCGTATGAGGGCTCCCAATGCCTCGTTGGCCTCCAGGATTCGCTGATACCGGGCACACTGCATTCCCGTCCAGGATGCCGTCTTGCTGCCACTCAGTTTCCTTTGGAGCTTCTTTAGTTTCTGCTTGTGAGCACAGCTCTGCTCCATCAGCAACTGCATGCAATTGAAGGAGGCGGTCTGCTCATGGCCCAGTTGTATAATGGTGTGCATCAAGCCCGCATTTGCATTAACCGCATCCAATCCCGCTTCGTAGACCTCGATCAGGGCTTCATAGAGCTGCTGTTCATCCAGAAGTTCCACGAGCGTTTGAGGTGGCATCAGATTCTGATGCAATCCACTCACATAGTGAAGAACCCGCTGAATGGGTTCGCAATTCGTATGCTCATCCAGTTGGCCAGTCTTTAGAAGCCGCACAAACTCATCGAGCTGCTGCTCCTGGATCTCCAGATCGCTCCGATAAATGGCCGCATGGGTGCACAGCTCATAGTCGCAGTGGTTGAGTCCATGGCGGAACTGTTGGAGCACCAATTGGAGACTCTTCAACAGGTAGAGGCACTGCGACCGGAATATGTAGCGCTGCACGGAGTAACCCTCGAAGATGGCATCACGACCTGTAAGTAAAAATCATTATGGTACATCTAATAGCAAAGTTTATAAAGATGTCAATTTTATAACATCTGGATTTGTTTAATGAATTTAAATTTATCTTTATTTACTGAAAAAAAGTATAGATATTCCATCAATTATTTATGGAACAACACTCACCAAACTCGCAGGCCGTGGGAAACTTCTCATTTATGGCCTGGCACACGATGGTCAGTTTCTCATTCATCCTTTCCAGTAGAAGCATGACTAGAACCACATCGTGCTCCCCGCCGCGCAGAAGGAACTGTTCGGGCACGAAGGCCAGGACGTGCTCCAGATGCTGGCGCTGCAATCTCAGCTCCACAGTCTTGATCTGCTGCTCCAGAGCCCTTCCGTAGGCCTTGCTCACACTGAAGATGTGCTGGTAGTCTGCCTGACTCTGGTTGGAACCCTCCTCCTGCTGGGACTCGTTGGCACTGCTGAAGTCCTCGATGGACAAGGTGCCATCTGCTCGCAGTTGGAGTTGCTCCTGAAGCTGTCTAACCAAATCCCGGAATTTCATGATGGTCACATCGCGGTCGTAAAGACTCTCCATGGCGGCGTTCTTCTGCTGCTCTAGGATCTTAACTTGACCACCCAACTTGTCGATTTCCTCGCGCAGATCTGTTTCCAGTTCTTGGTTACTCTCTATCAGTTGCTCTTGGATTTGTTCCAGGGCCTCCAGCTCGTTAACTTCATCTTCCAGAAGCTTGACACGATCTTCAAGTTCTAGTTTCAGGGAGGCCAGCTGGGTGACCATGGATTCTGCTCCGAGAGAGGCATCTACCTGCTCCTTCAGGTCCATTAGCTGCACCTCCATGTTGTCCACCCTTCTACTGAGCAACTCTTTGATGCTCTTCAGTTCGTTGATCTCCGAGTGCTTGGTCTCCAGTTCCTTGTGCGTTCGTTGGCCAAGTTGCTTCTCCTGGGCGAGAGTGTCTCTCAGACGAACCACTGTCTCGCGGAGTCGTTGATTATACTGCTCCAAGCGAAGGAATTCACCAGCGGATTGGGTAGTCACTCCTCCACTGGTTTGTTTCTCACTTTTCTCGATCCGTTGACCCTGCTGCTCCTCCTGCTCCGCCTTGAGGATCTCCACATCCAGGCTTAGTTCATCATTTCTTTCCTGAGCTATTTCCAGTTCCATTTGCATGGTCTCCATGCGCTCCTCCGCCATTTCCTTATCCAGCGTGAGCAGTTCTATGCTCTCAGCTATCTCGTCCAATTCCCTCTTGAATTTGGAGGAAACATCCTGGGCTTCCCTTAGTTCGTGTCGGGATCGTTGCAGTTCCCTTTGAAGCAGTACCTGCTGCGTCATGATCTGGGACTTAAACTCCATCAGTTGCTCGTTGTGTATTCGCATCCGCTCCAGCTCCAGCAGCTTGAGTTTATCCTCGCTCTTTTGCCCCCTCAGCAGTTGAAGTTCCTCCCTCAGTTGTCGGAGCTCTGGATTATCCAAAGGTGGAGCCACCGAGCACGGAGTTCGAAGAGCTGGCCCCGGCGTGAACTGAGGTCTTAGGATCTCCAGGAACCGAGGTTCGACAAAGGCTGCCGGCGCAGCCCGTTTTACCGAACTCGTGGGACTCATGCTGGTCTTGCTGCGTTTGGGTGCCAAAGCCAAAGGCACCGGCATGGCCAAAGTGAGCTGCGCCGTGGAGCTCTGTGCCTGTGCTGTGGTTGGCTTGGGCTGACTAATCCTCGTGGGTCTCAGCTGGGTGTAGGACGTGGATCGCTTCTGGTTACAAGTCATAGATGGCGGTATCAGTTGACCAGCGGCCCTGTGTGCCGGCAATTCTCCAATTGTGCTTGTCTGGAGCGGATTGGCAGTCACCTCTTCGGTTTGGCTTGGTTTGGCTGTCTGCTCCCTGTTTTGCTGCTCTTCTTGCTCTTTAACTGGCTCATCTTCCTTTCGTGCTTGCTGTGGTAAATCCTTAGATTCCCGCTTAGGAAGCTCTTTGGATTTCTCAATGGATGAGGAACTCTTAGGGGACATGTTTACTTCTTTAACTTCTTTTGGCTGCGAACTGCCATCAGACACCATTGGGTTCTGTAAAAATAATAATTATATTGGTTTTAATTTCAAGATTTTAGTAACTCGTAGCTTTGATGCATTGGCAAGGACTTAAAACTTTACTTTTCATTCAATATTAGGTCTTTAAAATTTAATTGATGGCTAAAAAAGACAAACGAAAAATGTGTAAAAGTATAATAAACCTAAATACTTTAAGTAACTACTTTTTGTATTTTATAGTTAGTATACATAGCTATTTTATATAACAGTTTCCAAAAACAATGTTTTTTTTTTGTTTCCACCGCAAAGAATGTATACTCATATATAAACAATAACCTTTTTTTTATATATTGGCTTGACCTAAATTATAGGAATTTTTTCTTTTATACAACCACTGCTATTAGAAACCCCTTCTACTCACCTTTGGAAGCTGCAATGGTTGCTGTTGCGCCGCCAAAAACTTCCCAGAAGTCTTGGCCAAAGCCTGCTCCCTTGGGGACTGGTTGTTCCTGATTTTACGCTGCGGCGATGGAGTAGAAGTTGCCTTTGCCTTACCAGATGTGCTGGCCATCTGCTCCCTCTGGTTATCCTACAGCAAATCGTTCTAGTATGTACATCCACTTCCGCCACTCTCCAAATGCATTACTCACCTGCTCCTCCACGGACTTGCCCCCGCCATTCCGCCTCGAAAGTTTCGCTCTGGCCCCGTCGCGTTGCATTTCATCGGTTTTTCGATTGTCCGCTCCCTTGGGCAACTCGGCAATCCTCACCAGCTGCTGGGCACGCACGAAGAGTCCACAGTTGGCGGGACACTTGAAGTAAATGCTGCCGTGGATGCTTCCATTATTTTTGCCCAGCGGCTCGTCCAGAACCACACCGTACCAGAGTCCGGCGGCGAAAGTGGTGCGTCCCACATAGGCAATCTGACCCTGCAGATTTTTACCCGTTACCTCAACACGCTGGCCAAGTTTCAGTTCCCGGGGGCTCATCGTATAAGCACGGAGCTTACGTCATCTTGTGGACCTGACACAGTCCAGTTGGATGAGTCGATGGCGTGTGTAATCCCAGTTAGCAGCTTGCAAAACTGCACTACTGAGCAAAACCGATGCGAAAGCGAGTCATCATGTGCGGAGGGCCCCACCCCAAGAAAGTTAACTCTGCAAGGCGCAGGCGCAAAAAGGGTGGTTTATTTCAACAGTATGGAAAGGTCAGCACGTGGGAGGCCTTCTCGTCGACTGTTAATTTTACAAATTTATCGCCGCCTCTATATGATATATCTTTTAATTAACACCTTCGCCTTTTAGCCGGCGGCTCTTTAATCTCCCGTTGACCAACCCGCAATGCGCCCCTTTCAATCTTGTCGATAATGTACTGCTCCTCGGTCAACATGGCCATGATAACCTCGGCATTCTCCTTTGAAATCCTAGATGCTTCACTGCTTGCCGGACTTCGCTGGAACTCCTCCTCGACCAAGCCTAAAATGTTTTCTGTTAGTTCGTCTAAAGAGTTTTTAGATTGAGCATCCTCTGAATCGTTCTTCTGGGACTCCTCTTGAATTTTCTTCTTCCTTTTCGAGACCCGCACTTTGCTCCTAGGATTTTCCTCCAGATCCTCCTCCGATTCCAAATGAACCGGAGGTGGTGGTTCTTCGTGTATTAGTTGAGAAATTCTTTTGGCATCCCGTGGTGTCAGAATGTTAATGGGTCGAAGATCTCTGGACACATAACGATTGCAATATGGACATGTACCGAAAACTTTTATTCTTGTCCCCATGATTCAATTACAATCTCCTCACAAAGGTCTTGAATCTCTACACCGATACAAAGTAATTGTAAAAGTGGAAGTAATTGTGTAGCTTTAAATGAGTACTAAAATAGTTGCTGATATTTTTTACACAAGCTTACTGATCTTTACTTTGTAAAAACCACTTCCCTTGGAACCAAGTTTTTGCCCGGTTTAACGATAATATTTCTTAAGTCTTTAATGCGCAATAATGTTATTTACAATCAAATAAAATCTCTGCACTTAACATCTCATTAAGAACATTTAAACATTGTACGAATTTATTATTATTGGGGATTTACAATTTGAGAGACCAGAAACTATTGCCTACATCGAATGGTTTGGTTGTGCCTTTTGCTTAATACGTGTTGTCAACTAAGATTTAGCTGCTAATTACATATACACACGGGTGTATTCCATCTAGAAGACATTGCGGCAAATGGGGCAAGTGGACTTGCTGCTGGTGGTGAACCATTTGTACTAAAAGAAAAGAATATTTTGATGGCCAAAAGCTGTGAAAGTTGGAAGGAGACTTACCAAACAAGGTCCGTGGAATTTCTTCTTGCAGGTCTTGCACGTGAGCTTGGGCAGCTGGCAAGTGTCCTGATGGATTACGGTATAGCAAACATAGCACTCCTCAACGCCCTCGAACTTCTTGTCCAGATTGTTTTTCCACATTGTCAGGCCATCGTATATGGTGCCATTCTGCAGATAAATTATAACATTTGTATTATTACAAATATACATTGTTTAGCAATTTAGGTATTGCAGCTTGTGCTTGCTTAAACCTACTATTTAGATCATCTTTATGGTAAACACTCCAAAATAAGTACCTGATGTGTAAGGAAGATGGTAAGCTGCATGCCCACATTCCGGGAAGAAGCTCGTCCACCGATCTGTTTGCCACACTCGACCTTTACAGCTCCGAGTGGGTAATTGGGAGCCAGGGTTATTACCAGTTCCATACGCGCCTCGTCGATGGCATAGACCGCAAGCACTTCGCGGGTGGAGGAGTGAACGGTAACCTAAAAGTAAAAAAAAGCACATTTAAAATAATCATTTTTCATTTAAATACGTTAAATTACAAGTCCAGTAGTCTTTGCGAATTTAGGATATAAAGCTAGCCCAGAGTATTTTCAGGATAAAATAACTTTAAAATATTTAATATATATCCTTTTTAGCTGAGATATGGTGACCCTTGAAATCTTCCGCGTCATTGTCATCATTATACTGCTGATCAGTATTACTGTGGTGTTTTCTTTGCGCATGACCCTCCCAGAATAGTCTTAAGGACCCCGAAGGTCCAGTCCCATCCGCTTACCTGCATATTCTCGTGCTTCTCCTTGCGATTTGCGATCGCCTTGAGCTCCTCACTGCATATCAGCGAACTCACGTAGTTGGTGGTGAGGTTGTCCACAAAGTTCTTCTGTCTGGATTGTGTGGTGTTCCACCATCTGCGCACCACGGCCGGCAACTTGCGGAGCACCTCCGTGTACAGGTGGCAGACATATCGCTCCAGACTCAGCTGACGATCTATAAAATGGAATACAAATGGATCAATCGAGGCAAGCCAGGCTGTGAACAATATTTTTATCGAAACACTGCGATAAGTCAAACAATGTTTATATAGAGAAGAGTTCGCTTGACTCGATCGTACAGTTTATTAAATAGTTTTTCGTTCGTTTTTGGATTTTCACTTTATTAGACAGTATGGCAAAGCCAGTGAATTTCATGGACATGCCCTCCGAGATGCCGCAGCCAAAGCGCATTCAGCTTGAGGGCGAAAAGGTAACGGTGGCCGAGGCCATTAACTTCCTGAAGACGCAATGCGACACGCGCAAGGAGCACATTCCGGAGGATCCCCTTCAGGAGGGACCCACCGTGGCGGACGAGCTCAATGCCCGTCTGGCAATGGTCCATGTGCGGGAGTCTCGTGCCAAGCGCATCCGTCGCCTGGTCAAGTACTCCGCCAACGAGACGCAGACATTGTACAGGTAAGTAAGTTTTCGAAATTTTAATACCAAAGTTACAAAAATATATCTTATATTCCTTAATAAATATTTTAATATTTATTATTAAAGACTTAAATATTTAAAATACGCATTTCTCTAGAAGAGAAAGCCCTAATCTATATATTGATTATACAGGTTCATATGCGTCTGTCCCCGCTACCATCCTTGCTATGTGCCCTGCCAGCACACGGGCCAGATCATTATCGACCGGGACGTGCTGTCTCGGGATGAGCATATCTGTTTTTTGGCTACGCCCAAGAAAGACTTCTCTTCACCTCAGTTGGCCAAGCAGGCGCGCTTTTATACCAAGAAGATATTCGTTAACCAATGTACAGCCCGTGTAGAGCGCCTGGCCGATCCGCATCCGATGCGAGTCAGTGACACCTTCAATTTTTTCAAGGAGTACCTCTCGCCTCGCCACATAGCCGCTCTAGAGAACCATATGAAACCGAAGCCGCCCGTTGAAGCCATGACCATGGAGAAGGCTCTGGAGTACATGGAGGAGGAGATGCGCCAGCGTAGGGCGGCAAAGCGCGTCCACAAGCGACGCTGCAAGGGTCTCAAGAAGCGCATTCTTATGCGCCAGCGCAAGCAGATGCAAAAAATCATTTGCGTCCTCTTCGAGGAAATGAAGGACTTTCTCCTCAACGATCAATTTATTGTGGACGAGAACTCTCCACTCTGTTGTGTAATTCTTGAACGACTTCGAGAGTTTACTGGTAAGCTAACTATGAACATTTATTTACAAAAATAATAAAATAAAATCCTCAACAGATCAAGAGTTCTACACGACCAGTAATTTACGCGAGTATCAGCGGATATTGGCCAACAATTTGACTGTTTGGATCAACAAGTTCATATCCAACTTGAACATCTATTTGGCGCCCCAGCAAATACCCGTTCAACGGCAAAGGATGGCAGAGACCGATCCAGAGCAGTTTGTGCCCTTGTCAGATTTCATTTCTCTAACCGATGAACCAGGGGCAGAAGAAATGATGGAGGATGTCGAGCAAGGTGGCGCCGAATACGACGATTATGGATATGGGGAGGACTACTTGCCCGACGTTCTTAATAATGACGACATGTCGGAGGAAACATTGATTGCTTAATTATGGTAAAGCTTACCCTTCAGCTGAGTCCAAGTGAGCTCCTTGTAGACTCCATTGCTGTGCACCTTGGCCCCGTGATTTTTAAGTATGTCCACTGGCATTGCTCGGAAGAGGAAATGTAAAAAATTCTGTAAAGTACGGAAGAAAATTTGTAGTGAAATCACCAATAGTAAATTTTTTGTATTGATTTCCAACCTCTTCATATTTGTTATCATTTAGCCAATTGGTGTACACAGCTCGTAATGCAACTGGAGATTTAGCGCAAGCATTGATGATGCAGTCCCATAAGAAAAGGTAGCTTAGTGCATCGTGTCTGTCTATCGGTTCAAGATCCTCAAGCTCTGCCAGCTTAAAAGTGAACTCCTCCAGGTATTTTTGTATCAGGGTATCGTAGCGGGTCAGATAGTCCTCAAAACGGTTGAGGAAATGCCACTTCGAGATCGAGGTAGTTGTATCCAGACTCTCGCTTTGTTTCTCATTCAATTCTATGTCGTCGGCCACAAATTGTGGGGTTAATTGGCGAAGAGAGTGCACAGCACTCAATCGAACCGAGTGCTGGGAATTGTAAAGCTGCTTGAACAGGAAATTGCAGAGGTGGTCCAAACTGATTTTACTGTTCGACTTGCAGAACTGAAATGGAAAATATGGTTTTTTAAATAAAAGTCAATCAAACCAATAACCACTACTACTATTTGTTATAAATTGTACAATGGTTTGCCCCGATAATTACCGAATAAACAAAACTGTAATCCAACAGTTCTAGGGCTGGCGTTAGGCGTTCCAGTAATGCTTCATAGCACGCCTGAAATCCAGGCTCCACACTCGTCTCGTGAGTCAGTTGATAAAATGACTTGAAGAGCACCACATTGACTTCCTTGGCAAACAGAGAATCCCATTCATCGATCATGTTTTTGAGTAATTCCGTTGAACTCTTCTGTTTCTCGATACGAATGAATTCAGTCAAGGCGGCAAACAATTGATAAACAGCCACCACAAAAAGAGAAGTCTGCAATCGGAAATAAATTGGTTTTAAATTTCAAAAATAATTGGTTTACAAAAACCTACCTTTGGATCATTGAATTGAGCTATGGATTTGGAAACAGACAGCACCCAAGAACTGAGACCAATGCGTATGGCATCCCAGTTCTTTATGCCCAGCTCGTAGGGAAACCGTTTCAAAACTTCGGTAAGCAGTTTGATGAACTCCACCGTATCTATAACTGATTCGTAGGGTTGCTTGTGAATTTCCCTGAAAAGCATATGATTCACATTAAAAATTAAATCAAAAATTAAAAATGTAAGAATTCTATGTTGTCTTACACATTGTAATGGAGTAAATCCTTTTGGCTGGATTGCTTTTCCCCTATGCCTGTCATAAACTGCACGGCTGATGCAATGATATTGCGATCTGTTTGCTCATTCACCTCGGCTTCGAAATTGTTTAGGAGTAGGGCATGGAAAACGGCTGCCTTAACCCAAATCTCGGGTGGTTCCGTTCTCATTATGGCCGAATTGAGACTGATAGCCTTTTGGGAAAGCTTTGGCAGAAGAAACTGCAAAAGAAAAGCGATTAATTTGTTTTCTTGGGATCCTTTTAAAAATCTTACCTGTAGTGCCATCACATAGGTCTTCAGAGCTCCCTGTGTCACTAAAGATTCGGAGAGATCCTCGTGCAGCAAAATGTTGGCACTCTCTTCGAAAGCGGCATACTGTGGACAAAATGCGAAGTAACTCAGGAGACGACATCCTACTACGCTGGGCTGCTGCACTGAAGACAGCTGAAGACGCTCTTTGACTATTCCAACCAGATCGCTGCTGTTGCCCATAAAGCTTTCAACCTTCCCCGACAGAATCAGCACTAGTTCTTCCGACCAAGATTGCAACTCTGACACTTCCAGCCAGCACTCTGCAGTGCCAGACACCCGAATGCACTGTAGAAGTTCAGCAATCAAGGGTTCATTCCAAGTCTTGAGCACATCCGCATTCGGATCACAGTAGTCCTCGGTCAACTCATCTTCAGGATTGTTTGTGTTTTGAGGCGGAGGGAATTGGTACACAAGCTTGTAAATTGTGGCAAAGTTGAGGGTGCAACGTTGAAGTAATGGTAATATTTCAATTTTGGACAGAGAAGCGCTTTCGAAGGGAACTCCCGCACTGACAGATCCTTGCATAGCTTCCAGGAGCACGCAATGGTTCTCAAACTGCTGAATTCTTTCAGATGTTTTTAGGGGGGAATCCAGAAGAGCCGCTATAGTTTCATCAATGCGTTCCAAGCGCTTCTTCTCATCCTCAATGTTTTCCGTAGAGCATATGACAAACTTGGCCATTGCCTCAGCCATACCATCAAGATGCTCCGCTTTAAGTTCAGATGAGTTCGCCAAATCCTCCACGATTTCCGCACAGCTCTTCAGCATTTGATTATCGATTTCAATGTCTTTACTAGACAGTGCATCCTGCCAGCAGGTGGTAATTTCCCACAGAGTATCCTCAGACAAATAATCTTCCGGTCGATGCTCCAAACTGAATTTGAACAACTTGAGAAAGATATGATGGCGCACACGCAACGAAGAATTATCGTTGCTGCAAATCACAGGCATTATCTGGGCAATAAAGCTGCCACACACTTCCACCATTTCATCGATACCCGGCTGATTTAAAGGCCCGCACATGGCCAGCAGTATTTTATCCACAGTTTCAGCATTGATGAGTATGTCTCCAGAATCCGTTTGAAAGAAGCACTTGTGAAGCAAATTGAGCTTCTCTCGATCATTGTCCACCACCACCTCCTGCGCTATCCGCGCAATCACGCCACAAGTTTCCGGACCACTGAGCATCTGCCTCACGGCGGGCTCTGTGCACAGGGGATAAGACAGCAGACGGTAGAGAAGTAGGTTTTGCACGCGATGTTGTGGAAGCTAAAGCGAATACATTAAATTAAAATAAATAAATAAAATTATAAAATTGCTGCTTACCTTCATAAGGATGTTTTCAATATAACCAAAGCGTTTCTCCGATTCCAGCAGCGGCAGAATCTTAAACACGATTTCTACAACATATTCGCAATCATCATCATTCAGATTTCCCAGCAGTGAAACAAATTTATCGAGCGCTCCTCCCAAATCTCCGACATCAGTTAAACTCTTGTAGAACGCAGCATCGGTGAACATTTTTGTGAGGGTGCGAATTTGCTCAATGTAACGCGAGGAGGAATTACCACTCCCACTGATTTTAGCCTTGTCCAGGCAGATTTTAACAAGCTTTACAACTAACTGTTTCAGTTCCTTTTGTACAAAGGCCGCAGCTTCTTGAGCCTTTTTAACTGGAGTAGTAGGTTCGCTCTTTTCGACCTTTCCTTCCTCCTCCACAAACTTCACACTAGGAGTCTCCAGGCTGGGATTAGCCATGTGCAGATCCTGCACCAAAAGCAAGACATGCGACAGCAGCTGCTCATTCACGTCTTCGGCAGCCAGATCATTGGTGACCAGCTCAAAGATGCGTGTCCAGAACTGGTTCAGCAACTTGGCATACAAGCCACCATTATCTAATTTATGGTTAATCTGCCGATCCCAAAAGGCTACCAGTGCAGAACTATGCTGGAAAAATATCTTCACATGCGCGCTGTCGCTCTTCAGCAGCCAACCAATGGGTTCCAGCACATTGTTTTGAAGTAAGCTAGTGGCAAATTCCTCCACTTTCTGATCTCGGTCCTTGGTGTTGTTAATCTGCTGCAGTAGAAAACGGAGGCACTCGAAATAAGCAACGTGAATAACAGTACAATCGGATTTTGGAAGCGGGGGGTCGAATTTTTCCGTGACGGCCAGTTTCATGTCGTCAAAGAAGCGCTGATAGAACTCGTAGATATCCAGATCTTGGAGTGAGGCTGGTGTAATCTTGGACAGAAATGGCAGCAGATTGGGACATATAGCCTGGGCGTTGCGATTGAAGCCACTGCGGAGCAGAGACGACAGTTTGGGAAGGAGAGCCTTGCGAATGTTGAGCGGAACAAACCTAAAAAATAAAAAAATTAACAAAGGAATGGAATTATGATAAGCCTACAATCTTACCAATCCTCGTAGTTACTTTGTATAAGCAAAACACATCCCCATATGTGAGGAGCCACGACGGGATCAGCATCGTCTATAAATTGGAAGCAGAGAGTAGTCAGTTGCGACTTTTGCGGCGAGATGACTTCCAAAAGGGAAACCGATTGCAGGATATGGTAGATACACTCAAACCAAGCAGCTCTAAAATATCAATATTGCATATTTAATATATGATTTCAAGTATTGAAAGATTACTCACTTAATGGGCGGCACTTTGTGCTTGCCAAAGCTCCAAAACTTCTGATGCGTCACAAGGGTGACGAATGCCTCCTTAACTTGGCTGAGCTCCTCATCCTCCGTCTTCTCCATGAAGAAGGACAATAATTTCAGGCTGCTGATGACGACGCGCTGGTACTTCTGTTCTGCCTCCTCTGGCGTGAGACTTTTCCCAATTGACAAAGTGGCAGCTGTGTGGAAAGTCAGGTTGCGAGTGGCGTACTCAAGGATCTCCACCTGACAGTGCAGGCACACTTCGCGTGTGCGGTTAGCGTTCCCCGCAAACGTGTCTCGGAAGGATTGACTGGCGATGCTGGCCGCAGGAGCATACGTATCGAAGCGGCTGCCCAGCCAAACTGGCACTAGCAGCTTGAGGTACGGAGCCATCGCCTTCTTACACTTGGCCATGAGCAAATGCAGCACCGTCTGTGTGAGTTCCCGGACATTGTGCTCCGGATCGCTGGCCAGATTCAAATAGTACTTGGGCCACAGCGGCAGTATGTTCTTCAGGGCCTCCACGTCCGACTGTTCGATCAGTTCGTGCAGCTCCTGCAGCGCCTTCTTCTTGGTCATGGGGTCCTTCTTTGATAGCTTGCGCAGAATGATCTGTGTCTGGGGGCTGATGGCCGCGTCGAAGCTATCGGGCATTTGTTCGGCACTGGCGAATCCCGGGGCAAATGGCACCAGGCCACCGCCATCCGCCTGCGCCGAGAAGCCCACGAAAATGGGCGTGGAGCTGCCCAGCAGCTCGGCGGTACGGCTGCTGCTCGAGGGCTAGGTACGTTCGGAGGGATGAATTCATGGTTAAATACTATATTTTTGCCTAATTACGCCTTACCTTTGCATTATTTTTGGTGCGCGGCGCTTGTTTTGTCTTTCCACCCATTTCTCTTCTTCTTCTTCTGGCTCTTCTTCTTGTCGATTGCACGTGGCAGGTCCGGCAACCCTTTCAGCTGGTATTCTGTAACAGTCCGGCAAGCTTTCTGTTTGGTATTTCAAATACCAGAAATCAAAACAAGCCAAATCACGATACTATCGTGAGTGGTTAAGCCATCTCTAACTTATTTAGCCCCAACATTTTACAGCTTTGCACGTGTTGCAATTGTTATTGATTTACTTTTAAAATGACAAAGTTCCTGTCCTATTACAATCTGTTTCCCATACCAGATCCGAAGGAGTTCCTGGGCCTGGCTTCAGATAAGGAGAAGGGTAATGTGGTGACCACACTGGCGCGCAATGTGGTGGTTGTTTTGAATGTGAGTATAGGCCCCAAAATAAGATGGTTCTCATTTAATAATCACGATTCCTTACAGATAAGTACACAAAAGCAGTTGCTCAGTTGGTCCCTGCCCGAGAAGCTATCCTCCAAGGTTATCTATGATCCCAACAGCCAGAAATATGTGGGCGTCTTTGGGAATCACTCGCTGCGAGTTTGGGATGTGGACACCAGTGATGTAGCCAAGTGCAAGAAGCTGAAGGTAACAGCACTTAAAAGTCCCTTTATTGTAGTAGTTATTTCTATAATCTTTCTTGCAGTTCCAAAAAAGCATTGCCCATTTGGTGGAAACCACCCAGGAGGCCTTGGTCCTCTACAGCGATGGCGAATGCCAAACCCTCTCGCAGGCGTTGATTTCTCGCAAGGATCAGAAGGAAGACACGGCCGAGCAGCTGGCCCTGGCCGCCAGCAAGGTCATTAGCAAGCCTTCGATATACACCTTGAGCCAGGGCCAACAGGTGCTCACCTACTTTGAAGAAACGAAGGCCACTGGCGAGTTGCAACTCATCCGACTTTCCCTTGCCACCGCCACCCGTCGGGAGTACCTAATCCAACGGGAAGATGTGCGTCTCACAGGTTACGCCGTTGTGGAAGGCGATGCAGCTCCTCAACTCCTGACTATTTGTGAGTGGTAACATTTATAAGACATACATCTAAGCATTAGTAATGCCTAATTCTAATAATTATAATCTCATGCCGAGATATAATGTCGTTTCCCATGTCAATTACTATAAAATGCTTTATTTTCTAGGGTCCGACAAGCGCATATTCATGCTAAATCTGGCGGAACGCACCTCAGAGCGATCACCCGGAAAATTCGTGTCCATGCTGGCCGAGCTAAATGTGGAAAGCAAGCTATCCGTGCACGGAGTATCGCGGAACTTTGCTGCCATTTACGGCGCCAACCACGGACAGGAAGGCGCCTCGCTGTTGGTCTACAACACACAGTTTAAGGTGGTCAATGCCAAGCAGTACTTCAAGGTGTATTTGGACTTCTCTCGCCTATGGGCCGGTGATGAGCACATTCTGCTGGCCATGGGTCAGAATATCGCCGCAGTGCGGTACAGAATGAACCGGGAGGTGCTAGTGGACATGCTGGGTTCCCAGTTCAGCGACACCCACCTCACGCCCATCGAACTGGATCACATTAACGAGGAAGAGCACCTGGAGTCGGTCATCAAGTTCGGTGGCAGCACGAAGTCCGTTAATTATGCCACTGTGAAATCCAAGTTAGATAAAAATATTCCCACATTGAGTTTTCAAACGGCAGATGGCAGAGAGTTGGCCTACGATCCTCCTGAAATCGTGGATCAGGAGATAGACGAAATCATTAAGCAGCATGTCCATGGAGAGGCCACGAGCGTCGAGAACGGACTGGAGGATGTGAGTGTAACTCTAATGACCAACTTCTTCGATTCGGGCCCACAAAACACAGCTGTACAGGCCTTGGTGAGGCAATTGGAGAGAAGTGGAGCGGGCGAGGAGGAGATTATCGAGAAAATTTTAACTCTTTTTATCAAGACCGGAAACAAAGAGCATGTGCTAATGTGCCTGCGGCGGTACAGCAACATCTCGGAGAGGATGCTGGCCTGGTCGCTACGTTTTGCTCTTGATATAAACACAAAACCCCCTGCCATTAATGGCGATGCCAAACCTTTGAAGAAACCCTTGAAGAACAATCAGCCCAACAAGGAGCTGCTAAATGCAGTGCTAGCCTGCAGTTTTGATGCCAGCGGGATCGAAGAGCATCTGCGTTATCGGCTGGAGCTCTCCCATGTCCAGCATCTAATGAACCACCTGTACGAACTAGTCCATGATCCCAGCGCCCAGCTAGAGGAACGACCCAACCGCGATTCCTCGCTGATCCAAACGGAAATCCAGGCCCTACAATGGCTCGGCTGCCTTTTGACCTCCCACTTTACCCTGCTAAGCATCTCCAAGGACGAAGCACTGTTCGATACGCTCTCCAAGTGGGCCAATCTTCTCTCCTTCTACGAGAACAGTTTATTCGATTTAGCCAATTTGCTGCCAAAGCTCACGAATATTGTGGAACAACGCGAGATAAAGCCCATTTACTCCACCACGTGGTATGGCATCGAGGAGGTGGTGCTGTACTAGGAAAAACAATGGATGTCTTTAGAGTTCCCCTTAAGTTTGTTTCTTAGTAGTTAAGCCAAATAAAAATAGAGTTTACTTGATTTTATATCGATTTTATTAACACATTGTACTGGATAAAAGACTTTTTGGGGATAATCTTTCAAGTTGTATGAGTATAGAACTGTCATACAAGATTGCATTGCATTGGAGATTCCGAATTTCTGAATCGAATTTGTGTATTCAATTAAAACAGCTCAAACAAGTATTAATACTTTTTGAAGTTTCTTGAGGGTTTCTTCTTATTAAGAAGATGCCATAAACCTCATTTTTTATTACCATTACAGATGGGTCGAGTCACTTTCAAAGGAAGAAAAGAAACTCCGTTAAAATCGAAACAAAGTCAGGTGGCAGGTTAAATAAGACTTAATAAGACTCAAGCTAAGCTGAAATGTCATCTTCAAGTCTTGCAGATTGTACCTATGCACTATCCACTTTAAGCCCGTCAAAACCACATCAAAGTGACCACAAAGTATCTTGGACATTATCAAAACTGTACCAGCTGCCAAGCCAGATTAAACCGAAAACTTTTCCATCAATTGCTAACGATGCGAACACATGCGACTGTAGCGTCAAGTCCCTCCTTGTCCTCCAACATAAAATCATTACACATAGAAAAACATATTTCCGTCCCAATTTTTTTGTCTTTTATAAGAACTATAAATCTTAAAAAAAGTGTTAGACACTCAAAATACTTATATAAAATCAAATAATATCATATTCCTATTTTCACTGTCATTTTACTAAACCCCATATGCCAACCAAATTGTCACATTGTAACAAAAATTCATAGTTACATTCATAGAAGTGTTTTGGTCCATAGTTTAACTATAATTTTTTAACTTCATAGAAATTTTTGTGAAAAAATGAGGAACAAGTTTGTTGTTTTTTTTTAATATTAGTTGAATTATGACTTATTATTTACTACTTATTTTTTATCCATTCTAAACATAAAAACTCGAAGAAAAAGTATTGCTAGTCGATGTTTGGGCTGTTTTTATATCGGGATGTTTTAGAAATTTCTTCCAATAAAATCCTGTGAGAAATTGAATGGATGTTTCAGATATTTTGGTTGCAAGAGATATCCCGAACATTATAAAACATAAACTTTAAAAACAGAGAAGGTAGCTATCATTTTATTTAATATAAATTTTATTTAAACAATTAGGCACCCAACTTTTATCAGTGTAGACGCGAAGGCCCAGTGACAACCCACTTGGTCCAAGTCCACTGCCTCTTTACCACTTTCTCTGCACCTTTCTTTCGAATCAATCTCGACGCGAACGAACCACTTGAGAGCGATGACCAGCCAAAAAATAAAAAAGCCGAAGAAAATAATGAGCAAGTCAAGATGGGGTTTTTAAAAATAGCTCCCCTCCACGGTTGATTCACTGGGGGATTTTGATTACGTAGCCGAGGGTCAGGGGCCACGAACAGCATCGCTTTTTTTTATGGCATTAGAACTGCGGCTATTCAAATCACAAGCGACTTGAAAGCATCGCATTGGGCATATGTGTGAGTTCATTTTTCTTTTTGTTCTTGCAGCATTTCTCCTGATTGTAAGCCGAAGATTTATCGCGTGCTGGATGGGAGAGGAGGAGAGGTATAAAAACCTGCTTGTAACGTCATAAAATCGAGATAAATTATTTAATTTTCGATTTCCTAAAACCATTAAGCAAAGGCAGAAGAGCCCGACGCCTAGCTACAGCTACCCATAACCAAAAGCAAGTTGCCCAGTCATACCAGGAGACACAATCACAATCTGCTGGCCCTTATATAAAGTCTGCATGGATATATATATTTATATATATATGCATTTGTATGTACCTGAACATAATGATGCTGCCTCTGCTGACCGCTGCATCCACGGCAGAAGACGAAGGACATGGTCACAGACGCACATGCTAGGGATGGGATACATGCATACGCCTACCTGTGCGCAGGTAGGATGGCCACTACAGGTAACCAACTCTTTGGCCCGGCAAACACTGCCGCAGATACGTGCACAGGTACAGATACAGATTCAGCTACAGATACAGATGCGCGTTACTTGTTGCAAACAAACGTTAAGAGATGAGGGAACAAACAGGCTGCCCCTGCCACATGCTGGGCACCACCACCGGCCACATTTAGCAGCGTCATGATCACCAGGGCCCTGCCACTAGTGGAAGGGACTTGGGACTAGGGACTGGGGACCAGGGAGCACTCCCAACCGGACCATACCGGAGCGGACAGCGATTGGGCCCGAGATTGGTGCGACTCTAAGATGCAACATCAGCCAGCATCAGGGCTGAAACTCTAGAGAAAATCACCGTGACTATATTTTTGATTTAAAACATATGTTTACCATTTAATTTAGAACTCCTTTTTTTCTAATATTTTATTTTTTACTGTTAAAATGTTTGTGGGGAGAATATAGAAATATATTGTAAATAATATTAATATTTCTCCTTTTTTTAGTCTACTTATTTGTAATGTTATTATTTAAACGTTTTATATCTTACTTTAAGGCAAAGAGTCTTTCTTTCTAAAAGTTTTATATAATGAAAATCCAGTGTGATTAGTTTTTGCGCGATTTTCAGTTCAATCAATAAATTAATGTATTTTCACTTGAGAGATAAAATTTTCTAAATACAGTTATGCTACTTGTAATAAAACAAGAATTAAATAGGCACATAGGAGTTTTATTTTTCTGTTAAAAATTTATTTACAATTTATTTTTATCAATATTTTAAAAGGATAATAGTTTTAAGATGAAAACGATTAAAAATAGGATGATAAATTAAAAAACGATATTCATACTTATTGATCGATTATTGATTTAATTTATTTTAAACAGTCATTTTACAAGACAAGCAGTTTACCCCTTACAATTTTCTACCAAAACATCCAAATCACTTTTGGGAAATCACCTGTGATTTTCTCCCATCCCTGGGCCAATTGCAGCTGCTTGTAAGCCGAAACGAGTGACTTGGCACTTGGCTCTTGGCATCCTTTGTCCCTTCCTTTGAAATGTTACTCATTTTGGTTATTTTTTCTTACCCTCGACACACACACACACGCACACTCATATACGGATGCAACATCTCTTAGAGTTGGGCCCACTCTTTCCTTTCTTATTCCCCTTTTTTTTGTTTTTGATTTTTTTGAAACGACAAACCGGCCGGCATTATTTTTAGAATTTTTCAGTAAAACTTGTTACCAAGCTGGGGCGAAACTGGCTTCGAGGCAGCAACAAAAACAAAAAACAGCAGCGACAGCAGCCAGCAAAAATGCAATGATCTTGTTCCCATTCCACGTCTTTTGTCTCTCCCCCTTCCCCTCCCCTTTGTATTACCAAAAAGGTGACTTTGTCTCGGTCCCTCGGCCATGTAGCCATATAGCCGAGTATCTTTGTATCTGTGACTTCGCATTGTTACTGTTCTCTGACTTTTTAATGCCCAAAAACCCGAATGCTGCTCGAAAATTGTATCGATCTTGGCCATTTGCCGGTGGTGTGGAAGTTCGGGTTCCAGCCACCTTTTGTGTTCTGTTTTTGGCCTGTACGCTTTGCTCTTCCATGGCAGCATCATCATGATCTCGGTGATCATTATAATGCCGATGCCGATGATGCCGAACAGGGGGGTACAGTTTCGCTCCGAACTGAAAAGTTATCATTTTGATTCTCTCTTTTTTTCAGAGGCTGCTGCTGGTTTGGTCGGTTTGGTTTCGCCGCCCCGGTCGCTTTCTTTCGGTCCCAGCTCAGATTTGGATTCGAGTTCAGGCATTGGTTAATTTATTTTTATTTTCATTTCATTAATTTGAGTTTTGCTTTTAATTGAACGTCGTTCTCGTTCCTGTTGCTCTTGCTCTTGTTCTCGTTCGCCTCCCCAATCAGATTATTGACTCTTTTTCGGGTCTCCATTCGTTTTGGGCAATAGTACATATATCTTGCTGTGTAGGAGATTATTCAAATGGGGTATAGACAGAGGCCTTTGTCTAAGCCCAAACAGAGGCCTTTGTCTAAGCCCAAACATGTTTGGTTTAATGAGTTCTATTAGTTGGGGCTCCGGCTCAATAGGCTTTTTCGGACGGAGAGTGTAAGTATGGCTCAGGCCATTGGCTATGCCTATGGAGTGTTGAAGGGGGGTAAATGGCTGCCACCCCAGGGGCTTGGCTCCGCTAGTTGAACCAACTGGTTTCTATTGGATTATGCTTATTAACCTGGTCATTTGGAGACCTCGGACAATGGCCAGGACGGGTCTTTGTATTGTGAAATGATCTGGAAAACGATAGAGCCCCGAAGTGAATGGATTCTATGGTTTTATACTGCGAAACTTGTTTGAGCTCTTAAGGAAATGAACTGGGTATTATGAAGTCGATTTATATTTACTATATATCAGCGTAATGATTAATTGATTATGTTTTATATTAAAACAGACTAGAAAATTAGATTTTATAATTAAATAAGTTTTATTATCCATTTATGTGTTCTTTCAGTGCTGAATGTAAAACAACATATGTATTTTCAAAAAAAGATTAGAAGAAAGAAATAATTGTTTTCAATATTAAAAAATAACATTCATTAAACATCTCTTAGTTTAACATAAATGTTTCATGGAGTCTAAGCATACTTCAAATCTTATTTAATACTGATAATATTTAAATTATTTGGTTCAATAAATTACCCATCCGTTGATAAGATCTCTGACAAACTATCGTCCGAGATTTTAGAGCCCAGAACCTCACACTTTCCCACAATGGCCGCGACAGAAAGACAAACAAAACTTTTGACATATTTATATATCCATAACTGTGTGCGCAAAAAGTCAAATATTTCCTCTGCACGTTCCCAGCGGCGGAGGCAGAAAGGCGGTAAATGAGCAAACCCCAACTCATCTCACGTTTGCTTGGCAGGCAGACAAATCGGGAGGTCGCAACGTTGGCAAACAATGCAAATTTGCAAACCGAAAGCAGCGAGATGCAAGTGAATGAGAGGGAATAGCTTCTCCTTGCCGCGTCATAATGTCAATAGGTTATGGGCAAGTTCGTTGCCTAAGTCTTT